AGGATGGGTCTGTCCGATGCGATTTGAAGGTCCTTTGCAGTTGGTAAACAGCTTCGTTAGCTGAGCGACTTTTGAATTTTTTTCTAGGTTTCTAATTAGAGAATAGAAGAAAGATGACTAGTGGTGCCATGATCTTAAACTAGTGGCTACTGAAATTTGGTATTTGTAAAGCAAAGATAGTGTGGGTTTCCTCGCATATACAGGTGCCCCCAGCCCCTTTTAGGCAGAGGCCCAATGAAAGCCAAGGGATTTGTGTTTGTTGTTTCCGCCTCTGACACTGACATAATGTAAGTTCTCCACATAAAGTGGTTCTCTGTATTCTTGTCTATTTAGAATCCTAGGAAAGAAATGAGGAGTGACTTGGTAGTATTTATAGCAACGTATTTTTCACCTTTTTACTTAGTTACGGTTATATCACACTACCTACCTCACGTCATTTAAAGAACAAAATAGTCTAAAGGTGAAGTAAGCCGTTTTCTTTCACAAAATATATGAGGCCGTGCTTGACAGTGATGGAATAATATTCACTCAGGTTGGATAGTATTGTTTTAAACCAGACATACTTAGGTTGTCTTTTAAAGGAAAAAGTGATATTTTTAACAGTTAAAGATTATTTTTGCCAGATATGCTGTCACATGCCTTTAAGAAATCATAGCACTCCAGAGACATAGGCAGGTAAAGTTCAAGGCCATCCTGGGTTACATAACAAGTTAGACCCTGACTAAAAAACAAACACCTAGTATTTTGGAAAGATCCTGGAGGCTTAGAGACAAGCCTATTCAGTGAGATAGTCTGGTTCACAAAATGGTGGAAGACACCCAATGTCGGGCCTCTGGCCTCCATGGACACACCTACATGGAGACATTAATGTGTACAGAGACATGAATGATGCAAGCTACCTTGAATACTTAAAACATCTTGGAAGCTCTGTTTTCTAGAGTGTTTGAAAGCTTTTCAAGTGAAGAGATTCAGTGGCTTTGAAACCAGTTTAAAATATAAAGTAGGGCCAAGGAGATGGCTTAGCTGGTAAAGAATCTGATCACATAGAATCCTTTAAGAGCTTAGGTGATGACTTATCTGTCATCCCAGCACATGTGAGACACTGACAAGGGAATTCCTGCCACAAGCTGACTAGCCGAATTAGCCAATAAGAGGAGCTCTGGACTCTGTGAGACCCTGCTCCAATACATAAGAAGGGAAGCTATTGAAAAAGATGGTAACCTTTAGGCCTCCGCACCCACATGTACATAAAGTGTATTCATTTTGGCAGATCAACAGATTCTGAAATTGTTTATTTAACTGCAGGGCTGAAAGAGAAGCTATGCAGAAATCAGAGTGCTCTGGAGGTGTGCAGTTGAGAACCAGAGCAACAGGTACAGAGTTTTACTTCTGCAAAAGGGAGAGGCCAGGTTTGTTAGTGATGCTTTCTGTGTTCCATGTGCATACAGGATCAGTTTCTGTTGCGTTTTCATCTTTTGTACTGATGTTCTGCTATTTTTCTCCTAGGTAGTAATGATCAACGCACATCCTCAAGCACACAAATGAAACACAGGACGACAGTTCAAGGGAGCAAATCCTCCTCCTTAACCAGTTCTCCAGAGGCTGCAAGAAGGGCTCATCCTCGGCCAAGTGATAAACTCAACCCTAAAACCATTAACCCTGTGAGTACAGTTTCCTCAGCAGTACATGTTTTACTTTTATAATGTACTTTATAGTAACTATGTTTTAAATTAGTACATTAAACCAGCACATTTTACAGGAATAGGCTTTAGCTGATTCCAGTTTAACCATTCTGAATGCTCTCGTGAGTTTCCTTTTTGCTAGTTTTTAGCTAGCTATGTTAATTTTGTTATGTTGTGAACTGTGTGTCAGCTTTTTCTATCCTACTTTCTAATGTCAGCGAAGTAACGTGCACTCAGCTGCCATGGAATGGCTCATTCATGCCATTCTGTGCTCATATAAAACCCTTAACCATTTTTTTTTTATGTTCTACAGATTGGTCTACCAGAAACCATACTGTAATCCTCTGTTTAATAGAATCATAAAGCCAGTTTGGAGAAATTACACAGATTCTCTCTCACCTCTACATATACTTGGCCGAAGAGCATGCAGCCCATACAGTGCTGGCTTAAAGCAAATGTGCTCTCTCTGTCCTTAGTGCCACTTCTGTAATCTAGAAGATACAGTCACTTATATGTTTGTAAGACTTGTTCCTGATTTTGATGCTACCAAGCCCAACCCCTTGTTTCACAGAAGCATAAAGTCTATTTGGAGAAGTTAAATAGATTCTCTGCTCTTTACACATCTATGCTTGGCCAGAGGGCATGTGGACATACAGTGATTGGTAAAAGCTAATCTCTCCTCCGTATTATTAATCCAGGGGATTCTTTACTCGGTATGAGAGAGTAATTGGAAAGACTTTTAGTCTGTGTATGGTTTCAGCCACCTGCAAACCTTTGAGTCAAATTACTGGTTGAAGAGAACTCCAAAGGCTTGGTTGTGTGTTTTTTCACAGTTGTGTGGCTGAGCAGGGATTTGCACAGTATGGGTATTGTGCGTGTGTGTGTGTATGTGTGTGTGTGTGTGTGTATGCACATGTGCCTGATCTTGGATTAAAATTGAAGATAGCAGTAAGTGAAGGTGGTGGTGATATTTTTGTTCTTTAATTTCAGTTTGGTGAACAGCCACGGGCCCCTTCTGCCTTTGCAGCTATTTACTCTCAAGGAGGCATTCCTTGCAGGTAAAATCAATAAATCCATAGCTACTGTGTGGCTCAAAGTAATTGAGTGAAATCAGTTATTCAGCTTAAATTGTTGAAAATTTATTTACTAGTGAGATTGAAATCAAAGGTGACTTGACTGTTAAATTGGTATAAATCCCTGGATATCATTGGTAAGAAAAACATCAACTCCAATATGTAATTACTAAGTCTGTAGTAAAGCACCAAATAACTTAAGAAATTAAATTGATCTGAGTGTACCACTTTTGGTACAACTAATTTTAGCATTAAGCATTCATAGGCTTCTACAAATTGAGAACAACAACAACAAAAGAAACAAAATTTCCAGCCAAACCCAAAACCCTTCCTATCTTGTAGGTAATGTAAACATTTTCAAAACTGCATTTCTTAAATACTGTGTTCATATTTGGAGTGAAAAAAATAAGCTAAAGAAGCATTCTTAGATTCTAAATTGAAGGATTGGAGCTGTAGCTCTGTTCCTATAATGCTTCTTACCATACACAAAACCCTGAGTTCAATCTCCTAGCACATAGAGAATTTAGCATGGTCATATGTACCTGTAATCCCAGCACTGAGGTGGTGAAGCAAGCAGAGGGCCGCCCTTGGCTACAGAAGGTGGGATTGAGGCCAGCATGGTGTACAGGAGACTGTCTGTCTGTCTGTCTGTCTCTGTGTCGCACACACACATGCACACACAGACCCCGAGACAGAGAGAGAGAGAGAGAGAGAGAGAGAGAGAGAGAGAGAGAGAGAGAGAGAGAGAGAGAGCAAGAGAGCGCTTTAAATATTTTTATATTTTTATTTAAAGCTTTCTTAAATAAAAGTACAAAAGTTTTGCAATATAACCTTATTACATAGTTTTGTGGGAAACATGGGGATGTGAAGGCTTGTTTACTTGCACTGCTTTGTCTGTGTCCCTAAGAGTATGGTATTCCTGTATGTCACAAGATAATTCTACTGCACCTCTATTCCGGGAGGAGTATTGTGTTGTAAGCTTCCTGCTACATTCACTGACTTTTGTATTTTAGATTGGTACATGGCTCAGTAAAACACAGATTACAGTGGGAATGCCCGCCTGAAATTCTTCCATTTGACCCGCTTCTAATTACGTTAGCTGAGGTAAAACATTCTAACTCTCGTGAGTGCTTATAGAAAAAGATATTTTAAAAAGTTTATTGTTATTTTGAACGTTATAAGTACATCTCATTTTGTACTTTTAAAATAAGTATCAAGTGAGAGGCATTAAAATATTGGACTCTAAGCAAGTAATTCTAATTGTTCATATATATATATATATATATGTATATGTATATATAAATATGCAGGTATATAAGACCTTAAACACAACACATACACACACATACATACTTATATAAAATAAATTAATTAACCAGTCTTATAAAAATGGGAATCTAACAGGAATGAATGAATAAGTGAAATGGGTGGATGGTAAATCATACTTAGTTCTTTTATAGACATGTCTTTTCTTCTTTTTTCTTCTCTCAGACCTTACATCCCTACTGTAGTTTTCCCTTACTCCACTCCTCACTGTCTGACACTCACCCTATACCCCCAGGTCCACTCATCTTCAATTTTCCTTCAGAAAAGAGTAGGCCTCCCAGGGATATTAACTGAACACAGCATAAAAAGTTATGATAAGACTAATATCAAGGCTGGACTAGCCAACTTAGTGGAAGAGAAAGGGTCCTAAAAGCAGACAAAAGAGTCAGACAGTCTCTCTTCCCACTGTTAGGCATCCCAAAGAACACCAAACTACACAGCCCTAACATACATGCAGAGGGCCTAGTACAGTCCCATGCAGGCTCCAAGATTCACAACTTTATATACAATTGCAAGCCATATTTTAGACTCATCAGAACTAGTAATATACTACATAGTCCAAATGGTTAGGGTATACAAAGTACTTTAGTTTGGGAAGTCATTCAAGGGCCTTTGCTTTTACAACTCTTTAAAATAAGCCCTTCTAAAACATCTGCTTGCTTGCTTGCTTGTGTTTGTTGTGGGAGTGGGTGTGGGTGCGCCATAGAGTGCATATAGAAATCAGAGGACAACTTCTAGGAGTTGGTTTTCTCCTGACACCATATGGGATCAGGGATTGAACTCAGGTATCTGGCTTAGTGGGAATTGCCTTTACTTGAAAAGGTATCTCAGTGGCCAAGACCAGTAGTGTATATGTACCTGTGGCCCACCATCAGTACTTTTATTTCTGTGCTAGGTAGCAACTTAAACTTTTTTCTTCTACTCAGTGGGGAAGGTACCGAATCAAGTTTCTGTGTTTATGTTTTCTTTGGCAGGGTCTGAGGGAGACCAAGCATCCTTATACCTTTGTGTCAAAGGAAGGCTTTAGGGAGTTACTTCTGGTCAAGGGTGCTCCTGACAAAGCTATCCCTTTGCTACCTCGACTGATCCCTGTGCTGAAGGCAGCTCTCGTAAGTCATTTATTTCACTGGACATCATTATTCCCAATAGCATGGTATGGATGAATACTCTGATTCAAGAGAGCATTGTCTGTTCTTCCTCTCCCCCATATTCATGCAAATTAGTGCTTTACTTATGGTTGACAAGTATATGCAGTGTCAGAGTCAGACAGTTCTGTACGTGACCACTTTAGAGGATGTACTTTTAGGGTCCTGGGAGTAAAAGCGTACCTTTTAGGTAGTTAGAGGATATAACTCAGGTGACTCTGTTCTCTGTATAATAGATGCACATTAGTAACTGCTCTTATCTGATGGAAATTGTTTTACCTCTAGATACAGTGCATTAAAGCTCACTCCCAAAATTCTGTTGATAGATTTCTAGGATAAAATGCTTAATCCTTCGTGTCTTATACCTGCTTGCCCCTTTCCCTTATTCTCCCTTTCATTTTTCCCATCTTGTCCCTTTACTTTTTCCCTACTGATTCCAATGAACAAGTCTCCTTGAGATACAAGTGTACTAATTCTTAAAGAAAATCCATTCTGAAAGGAGAAAGTAGAATTATATATAAAGGCACATGGAAAGGGTCCAAATGAAAGTGTCCAGAGACTCTTTGGAAGGTTGTGTAGGCTTTAATTTGTCTTGTTAACTGGCCCCACAGGTTCATTCTGATGATGACGTGTTTGAAAGAGGACTGAGTGCACTCGTGCAGCTGAGTGTGGTTGTTGGCCCGTCTCTGAATGGCCATCTGAAACTTCTGCTTACAAGTGTGAGTACTGCACAGAAGAGAGTAGCTGTGCAAGTCTTTATAACCCCAGCCTTCAAATCAAGCACTAGCCTAGCTCAAATCCTTAAAACCATAGTTTCTTGTCATTGTTAACATACCTGGCAGAAACAAACAAATAGTAGGAAGGATTTGTTTGGACTCAATGTTCCATCTGTGCCAGTCCTTCATGGCAGGAAGGAAGGGCTAATGTGGAACAGGTGACTTGTCGTGGGCATGAAATGGATGGGCGCATGGGAAGGGTGCAGGGTCTCTTTTCCCCCGCCCCCTTCCTTTCAATAAAATTATCACATGAAGAATCCAAGGATCAGTCCACGCCTTAGTTAGAGCCTTTGAACTTTCTCTGGAAAAACCCTTGCACAAAAACCAAGGGCGTGCTTTATTTACCTGGGTGTTATTCTATCCAGTCATGTTAGCAGTGTGTGCTAACCAACCCTAATCAACAATTGGAGATTAGACTAAGTATGTCAGAAAGTATCTAGTAGACAGTGCCTCTCTATTGTTTTCTAATGTATTAAACTTTAACACTGATTTTATGTTTATAATTAAAAAGTTCTCAGTATCATTCTATTAAGCCTATGTTGAATACATTTCCAAAACGCTTAGCAGAGAGCATGGCTTAAGTAGCTGAACTGTCTAGGTCGTTGTCTGCAGAAATGCATGTATTTAAGGGGAATGCTGGTGTAGTTGCTCATGACTACCTACATTGCACTACGTCTCTGCTAGTGCCTGTGATGTGTCTTCCTTCATCTGTGCTATGCTTTTTAAACATCTTTCGTTTCTAGCTGTGGCGTGTTTAGCATGTATGCAGAGATAAGTGTCTTGTGCTTCCTAGTCTCTTTTGCTTTGTCAGTTACTCCTCAGCTTCTCCCGTCTTATTGCTGGGTACCGTGTGCTTTAGAGGCAGAGTTCCCTATCATAGTTCTCTGCGTGGACTTGCATGTGATGAGATGAAACATATGCCATGCTTATAAACATAGTTTTCCTGTGAGTGTGTGTGTTTGTATGTGGGTGCAAGAGCGCATGTGCCTGTATGTCTGCATGTTTGCGGACTGTAGAGGACAGTCTCGGGTGTTGTCTTCAGAAGTACTGTCCACTTCCTGTAAGATGGATCTTCTGGTTACCTGGAGCTTATCAGTTGGCTGCGCTGTCTGGCCAGTGGGTCCCCAGTGATAGAATTATAAACAGAAGCCACCATGCCCAGCTTTTAATGTAGGTATTGGGTATTAAAGTCAGTCATTTCCCCAGCCCCAGATAACTTGTTGTAGCAGATATTGTGAGATAGGTAGAGCTTGAAATGATAGAAATTCAACTTTTTTTATATAGATATGTATTTTTTAATTGAATGTTTTCTTTATTTACACTTCAAATGTTATCCCCTTTCCCAGTCCCCCTCCCACCCTGGAAATCCCCTATCCCACCCCTCTCCCCCTGCTTCTGTGAGGGTGTTCTCCCACTCACCCATCACTCCTGCCTCTCTGCCCTGGCATTCCCCTACACTGGGGCATCGAGTCTTCACAGAACCAAGGACCTCTCCTCCCACTGATGCCCAACAAGGCCGCATAAATCCAACTTTTAACCAAATACTATATTGTTACATGTAAATTTTAGTGAATCACATACTGAAATAAACTTTGTTAAAGTTTTTTAAAGTAAGTTAGACTTCCTTAAATTAAGGCATGCTCAAAAATTATTTGTGCTTATAGCAGAGATTATTTATTTATAACCCCCCTCCCCTACTTTTCAAAAGCTTTCGAAGAGGCTAATGGACAAAAAATTCAAAGAGCCCATCACCAGTGCTTTGCAAAAGCTGGAGCAGCACGGTGGAAGTGTAAGTAGAACGCTGTACCTGTAACCTGCATTCTTTCTGTACATTGTACTTTCAATCCTAGCAGAGGTGGTTAGCATGTGTTAGCTTACTGCAGCTGCAAAAATAAATGTGAAATTTTCTGAGTTCTTCTCTTGTGGGCTAAGAATTTCTGTTTTGCTGTGATGGTGTCTTTGATTTAATCATGTTACTTATTAACTTATTACTTCCTGCTCACTGGTCCCTCTCTTTTTACTCATCTTACCTCCTGCTCACTGCTCCCTCCTCTCTCACAGTCCTTTCCCCAAACCCAGGGTGGAAGCCTCCCCTGGGCTCCCCCCACCCTGGCACATCAGAGTTTTGCAGAGCTAGGCACATCCTCTCCCACTGAGGCCAGACAAGGCGCCCATCTAGAAGAACGTCTTCCACAGACAGGCACCAGTTTTAGGGATAGCCTCCTCTCCAGTTGTTCAGGACCTACTTGAAGACCAACCGAGCTACTCATCTCCTCCGTATGTGTGGGAGCCTAGGCCCAGTCCATGTTTTCTCTTTGGTTGGTGGTTCAGTCTCAGAGAGCCCCAAGGATCCAGGCTAGTTGACTCTGTTGGAGTTAGTTGATTTCCTATGGAATTCCTATCCTCTTCAAGGCCCTCAGTCCTTCCCCCTACTCTCTATAAGAATTCCCGAGCACCATCCACTGTTTGGCTGTGGTTTCTCCATTCATCTGAGTGAGATGCTGGATGGAGCCACTCAGAGGATAGCCATACTAGACTCCTGTCTTCAAGCATAAGAATAGCATTAATAGTGTCGGGAACTGGTGCTTGCCCATGGAATGGGTCTGAGGTTGGGCCGGTGTTTAGTTGGCCATTCCCTCAGTCTCTGCTCCATCTCCCATCGCTGTTTCTTGTAGACAGGATAAATTTTGGGTCAAAAGTTTTGTGAGTGGGTTGGTGTTCCTATTGCTCCACTGGGGTTTCTACCTGGCTACAGGAGGTAGCCTCTTCAGGTTCCATATCCATACTGCTGTGAGTCTCAGCTAATGTCACCCCCATTGATTCTTGGGAGCCTCCCCTATTCCAATTTCTTTATTTCTTCCCTGACCCAGAGATCACTGAGTAGAGAATTATTCAGTTTCCATGATTGTGTAGGTTTTCTGGTACTTCTGTTGTTGTTGAAGTTCAGCTTTAATCCATGTGGTCTGATACAATACAAAGCATTATTTCAGGGTTTTTTTTTTTTTTTTTTTTTTTGTATCTGTTGAAGCTTTCTTTGTGACTGAATATATGGTCAGTTTTGGAGAAGGACCCATAAGGTGCTGAGAAGAAGGTATATTCTTTTGTGTTTGAGTGAAATATTCTATAGATGTCTGTTAGGTTCATTCGATTCAAAATGTAGATTAGTTTCATTATTTCTCTGTTTAGTTTTTGTCTGGAGACCTGGTGAGAGTATGATGTTGAAGTCTCCCACTATTAATGTCTGGGATTTGATGTGCAATTTAAGTTTTAGCAATGTTTCTTTTACAAATGTGTTTGCCCTTGTTTTAGGGGCATAGATGTTCAGAATTAAGATATCTTGGTAGGTTTTTCCTTTGAGTATAAAGTGTCCTTCACTGTCTTTTGATTATTTTTGGTTGAAAGTATATTTTATTGGATACTAGAATGTCTTCTCCAGCTTGCTTCTTAGGTACCTTTGCTTGGGAAACTTTTTCCAGCCCTTTACTCTGAGATAATGTCTATTTTTATTGCTGAGATGTGCTTCTTGTATCCAGCAGAAAGATGATTTCGAATCCATTCTGTTAGCCTGTGTCTTTTTATTTGAGAATTGAGTGTATTGATGCTGAGAGATATTAATGACCAATGATTGTTTATTTCTTGTTATTTTGATGTTGGTGTTGTTTGTGTTTGTGTATGCTTTCCTTGTTTTTGCTGGTATAGAATTATATATTTCCTGTGTTTTCTTGGATGTATTTATCCTCCTTGGCGTTTTCCTTCTATTATTTTCTGTAGGCCTGGATTTATGGACAGATGTTTAAATTTAAATTTCTTTTGCAATGTCTTGTTTTCTACATCTATGGTGATTGAGAGTTTTGCTAGGTATTGTAGTCTAGATTGACATGTGTGGTAATTTAGAGGTTGCAAGATATCTGTCTTGGCTCTTCTAGCTTTTAGAATCTGTTGAGAAGTTGTATGTAATTCTAGTAGGTCTATCTTTGCATGTTATTTGGCCTTTTTCCCTTTTGGCTTTTAATATTCTTTCTTTGTTCTGTAGATTTTCTGTTTTGATTATTATGTGCCAGGGGGATTTTCTTCTCTGGTCGAGTCTAATTAGTGTTCTGTAAGCTTCCTGTAAGCCTATAGATAGATAGATGATAGGCATCTCTTTCTTTAGGTTGGGTAAGTTTTCTTCTATGATTTTTTTGAGAATATTTTCTGGGCTTCTATTTTTATTATTAAGAATAATAAGGGTAGGTACCTTTATGGTATTCCAGATTTCCAGGAAGTTTTGTGTCAGGGACTTTTTAGATTTAACATTTTCACTGACTGATGAATCAATTTCTTCTTCTGTATCTTCTACACTTGAGATTCTCTCTTCCATCTCCTGTATTCTCTTGGTGATGCTTGTATCTGTTGTTTCTGTTCTCTTCCCTAGGTTTTCCATCTCCAGACTTCTCTCTGTTTGTGTTTTCTTTATTGCTTCTATTTCCGTTTTCAGATCTTTAACAGTTTTATATATTTCCTTCACCTGTTTGATTGTGTTTTCCTATATTTCTTTAAAGGATTTATTTGTTTCCTCTTTAAAGGCTTTAATCATCTTTGTTAGATTGGATTTAAGGTCATTCTCTTGTGTTTCAGTTGTGTTAGGATATCTAGGGCTTACTGTAGTAGGATTAAATTTTATATTTATTTATTTCTGTACTTCTCTGTACTAGGGAGAAATCCCAGGTCCTTGTATATGTCAGAAGGCATGGCTTGAGCTTCCTGTAGTCATGGATCTCTTTTCCCTTTATTTGGTCTTGCTTTCTTCCTCTGAGTTTTAGCATCTCCCTGTAGATGGAGATGCCACTTCTACATTAGTGAAGCACATTTACATTGTGGAAGAGTTCATCTGATTTTTTCCCCAACTTTTCAAGGAGAGGAATATGGGACTTCATTACTATATGATGACAGCAAGATTTATTGAAATTTTATAATTTGAAAGAAATATTCAGCTACTTAGCTTAACAATGTAGGACTTTCATTTTCCGTGTTTTCTAGATAACTATATGGAAATGTATATGATTATATACACTTTTGCTGTCCATGATTTAATCAGCTAATTCTGCTACTTTTAATAATCTATAAGCTACATATATTGTTTTTGTGATGAACACTTAAAGTTTATGCAGAGGAACTAAGCCTTACAGGGACAGTTAGAGAATGCATTTTTTTGTTGTGTTTGAGTTCTAGACAAGAGACTGGTAGACCCTGAGGATATGTGCAGAACCAGCACCTACTAGTCCAGTGACTCCACTTCTGATGAAGTACTTTGTAAATGTAGTTGGTCATCCTAGAATCTGAATCCCAGAAGTAATTGTGCTTTCCTCTTTTGTGAAATAAATGCCAGTGAACAGATGGTGACTAATGATGACAGCTTTTTAAGCTGGACCTCTCCTAGATGGTTGTCTGCCTCCAGGAGACCTTTTTAGGGAATGAATCAGGCAAAGGGAATGGGAGACATTTATGGATGTCTGTGTTGGGCAGGGGAGGTTATGATGGAGATGCAGTTCAGAAGCTGCATTTTGTTATCTGGAGCTGGCCTGCAGAGGTGTAATTGACCAATCTAAGGTCTGAAAGAGAGGGGCTCCTTTTGTTGTTATTTAATCTTACTAGCTTTGGCTATTGCTAATATTGAATTTAAAAGAAAAGAAGGTTGTTTTTATAAGAGATATTAAATATTCCTCAGTATTCTGTACTGGCCCTTGTGTGTCCTACATGATATCTTAGTAAAGTATGCTGTCATTAAGGTTTACTATTGGGTAGTCAGGGTTTTTATTCCTACATAAAACATCATGACCAAAAAGCAAGTTGGGGAGGAAAGGGTTCAGCTTACACTTGCACATTGCTGTTTATCACCAAAGGAAGTAAGGACAGGAACTCACTCAGGGTAGGAACTAGCAGCAGGAGTGAATGCAGAAGCCATGAAGGGATGTTGCTTACTGGCTCGCTTCTCCTGGTTTGCTCAGCTTGCTTTCCTATAGAACCCAGGACTACCAGCCCAGGAATGGTACCTCCAACAATGGATCCTCCCATCCTTGATCACTAATTGAGAAAATGCCTTACAGCTGGATCTCATGGAGGCATTTCCTCAAGGGAGGCTACTTTCTCTGTGGTAACTCTAGCCTGTGTCAAGGTGACACACAAAACCAGCCAGTACAGGTAGAGAGATGGCTCAGCAGTTAAGAATCCTTGTTGCTTTTGCAGAGAACCTGGGTTCAGTTCTCTGTACTCACTGAATCACAACCTCCAGTTCTAAGTAGACATGATGCTTTCCTGATGGCTTCTTTGGACACCAGGAGTGTATATGGTACAGAGACACACATGTGGGCAAAATGCTCATGCCTATAAAATTTACACATCTAAAAGGTTTTTTAAAAAAAGCTATGCATTAGAATTAATGCCTGTGCCTTTCTTCTGGTTTGATTAGTGTTGTGCTAATTATAAGTAAGCAATACTCCTTTTTCTTCCAGGAACTTAAAAACATATATTAAGTTTCTTGAGTAGTAATGAGTTTTTAAAAAGTTCTTGATACTGGAGAGATGATTTATTGGTTAAGAATATTGCCTGCTCTTCAGAGGACGCAGTTCCATGCCCAGCATCCATGTAGTGATGGCTTACAACCACAGAAAATCTAAAGTCCACTTCTGGCCTCTTTGGACATTCCATACATGTGGTACACAGACATAGACATACACAAAAAAAGACTAAAAAAAAAAAACCTAAAAAAATTTTAAACCAGGAATTCTTAGTGTAGGTGTTTCCTATTTCTTTTGACTTTTATAGATTATAATAATGTAAAGGCACAACTACTGGACAAGTGGAAACATTTGTTATAAACACACAGACTTTCTTATAACGAGTCTTTCCCGTTTTAAGTTGAACATAGTTTTACAAACGGATGATTTCGTTTCCGTGCTCAGCAGCTTGCTCATTTGTCCTGGGGAAGGCACGTGCCCGGCACTTCATTTCCTTCTAGTGTATGTGAGCTGTGAGCACTGTGACAAGCACTCTCCATAGCACATTGTAAGCACCAAACTCCTTTAGGCTCCAGGATGAGCCTCAGAGGGAGACTTGCTAGCTAGTAGCTTCCTTTACATCAGGATATTGGGTTCAGAGAAGTAATTAACTCAAGTATGCTGGTGAGGTACAGGGAAGATAAATCTAAATACTGCTCTCACTTCTTCTGTAGATATTTAGGGTTGCTATTTTTTTTTTTAACCTCAGAAAATGTTCTACTCATCTTGTAATTTTGGTTGTATCTTTTTGTTTTTACTTTTGTTTGAGGATGCTGACATTAGCTGTCCACAATTGATGGCTACTGGCAGGGGTGTGGGGAGGAGGGGAACGGCTCAATTCAGTTTAAGAGGTCTACCACTGAGAGTTCGAGCATGCTCTAGAGAGTATCTAGATAAAAAATTGGACCGACCTTCCTCCTTCCTAACTTACTTACTTACCTCCCTCTCTCCCTCCCTCCCTCCCTCCCTCCCTCCCTCCCTCCTTCCTTCCTTCCTTCCTTCCTTGATTTTAACTTTTTTGGATGATGTCAGAAGATTCACGGGAGTCTTGTATACTTGCTGACACTTGTAAGTGTAGTGCCTACTGAATAACTGTTTCTAATGCTCATGTTTTCTTGTGTTGTCAGGCAAGTCTTATCATCATCAAATCCAAAATCCCAACATATTGCTCTATCTGCTGTTGAATAAGGGAGGCAACAAAAGCCACGCTGCTTCCTCAGGCGCTGACAGTGGCTGCCTGGACCTTTTGTCAGAGTTCAGTTCATCCTGACTCACAGCACCACTCATTCATTAACTTGGCTACGAGGATCATGCCAATTCTGGAAGGATCATCATACAAGATGTTTGTCAACAAAAAGCTAATTAAAGTAACGTGCATAAAAGTTGAGTGCTGTAGGGGTTTCTCATCCATCATACCTAGGTATATGTTTTCCAATGCATTTTTACTTACAGCCCATCGGAAGGCCACTTTGTAGCTGTGCCTTATTTTATAGGTTGCTTTTGGCCATTTCTTGGTTTTTATATTTATTAAGACTGAAAAAGTTTTAAGATAGCAAGTAAACATTTGTGACTTCACTATTAGCCAGGGAGTGTGTGTATTTTATAATGTGGGAATGCTTGGGAATATCAGTTTTTGTTCTGAGTATTCTAGTTTTAAAAACTTGTTTTAAATGAAAATTCTATTACAAGTTTGTTGTTTATTACAACTTTTTAAAATACCTAAACTTTAGGTGTTAATTGTAATTAAGTAAATGCTATTTTTGCATTTTGTAGCCCCAAAATACTGATGATGTGTGTGTATGTATGTGTGTGTATGTATATGCACACACAGATATTCAGAAATTAAAAGCTTAAAACTTACATGTATCCAGTGATATTGTAGTTGTACTTCTCTGTGTTTCCCAGTTACTTGGTGTGTTAAAACATAATTTATGGATACAGCCCAGAGTTTCTGATAAGCTAGTAACTTACTCTAGATCATTCTGTAAGAGAAAGGAGTAGAGGAAGAGAAATAGAAAATGGGAGCAAGGCCTCTGAGTGGCTGTAGGGACTTGGATAGCCATGACAAATCCAAATCATAGCCCGTCATTGGACAGCATGGAGACAGGCAGTCACTGTGTGCACTTGACACACTGGATGGATGACGCCCTTCCCCTTGTTCTCTCCCACAGACATCTGGGTGACCTTTAGCAATTCTTTCAGATAGTTACACAGCTGTCAGTCCAAAGAATACAAGCAATTGCTGAGGCACCATACTACAGACATGCCCAGTCTCTCCCAGGGTTTCTTTTGTCAGGTCTATAGTACCTTGTCACATTCTCAGACTATGACTGCTACAGTAGCTGCCTGACTTCAGTCTTGCTTTCAGATTTCTTTGTAGGCAGTACTACCCAAAGATAGTGACAGGCAGGTTTTAATCTAGTAATTAACTGTCGAACTTGCTAGATTATAAAGACCAATAGCACACAAAATAGAGTAATAAACACTTTATTTTGCTTTTATTTGTCCTTTTTGAGATACAAAATGTGCACATTGAGTTTACACAAACACGTGATGGCAGATTTCTGTACATGTACTGTACTACTCTTAATTCCTACACTGGTGATAGCAGGGCAGCTTTCAACATCCTATCTCTACACCAGAATAGATACCTGATTTATTGTTGCAGACAGTTGCAAATCTTCTCCTCCTGTATCCTCTTGGTTCTTGTATTTCTACGAAACAGGGAAGATGTGTATATCTATAGTACTGTTGTGGCAAGTCTACAGTTTTGGCTTAAGATCACTGAAAGGAATGTGAATCCTTTGAGCTATATGATGTGCTAAATCATAATGCAATTCGGATGAACTGTAAAATGTTTGCATTCATTTTCTATACAATCTTATGTATAATTTCCAATATAATAGAATCACTGGTGTTTTCAAAGAATATTTTGCTTGATCTTTATTCTTAGTAGGCTTTGGGCAGTCAAGGATTCTCTGTCCCTGAATGGCTTATGTATGTTAAACATGCTGTGAGAACATTAAGGGGCTTGGGAGTGGCTAGAATTGCCCTTTACTGCTGTTAGGGTTACTTGTTAATAAGCATCACTAGGCATTGCAGGACAGACATCCGGACCCTTGGCAAGTCTGTAAACATCCTTGGTTTGTTTGACACTTTGAATATCTACTTCATAACACAATACAAAACAGTCTACATGTAAGATTGAACAGGTCCAAAGTTACATGGATTCTATAGAGCCTTGGCATGAATATGGAAAATTAACAAATACTAAAATAATTTTATTAGGTATATGCTAACATCTGATAATAAACTAATTTTTTTAAGTGTTCTTTTTAAAAATTGCCAAATACATTAATGTCTTTAACAGCAAGTAGAGAAGCCATAGAAATTGGGACTGTGTTTTTGGTCTTTTTTAATTGTAATAATCTTTGTTTCTTTTTTCAGTATTATACGAATCGAATTAAATGAAAGTTCACTGGCTTTCTGGAAGTTAAATGCAGATGGAAATATTTTAGAAAACCACTTAAAATCCAGGGCTGAATCATACAAACAAGTAGGAAAACCCACTGGTGTTTTAAAATCACTGATCTGTAAAAGCCTCAATAACACGTGGCTGAGGATCAGAGCTATTCCAGATTCTGTGCCTTTTGAGTGTTCTCAGAGTATGAAATAAGTTAGCATATTTCATGACCCCAGTGATGTGGATGCAGATTTGTAACTGGAAAATCTAAATTTGAGGAGGGGTTGTTTTATATTCAAACAAAGCTGTTTGCATGATGTGCCTCAGTGTAAAGCTGAGCAATCTATGCTAGAAGTGGTGGCTTCAGCTTGTGTGTAGTTGTTCACATCTGCCTCTTCAGTCGAGGACCTGCTGACATTCTAGATCACATTTTCGAAGAGCTGCATGGAGCGCATTATGTTTTCATCCTGTAGGGGAGAAACAGAAGGATGTTATTCACTGTGTCTGCAATGGGAAGTACTGCTGTACTCGTAAGTATGGCTTAGACCCTTCATGTGCTGCTTTGTGATAGTAAGAGTATCTTCCGTTATCTCCACTACAAATAACCACAAGAGTCCATCCATTTTGTTAGTTCTTGAATATGCCTTTAGATATTTCATTTAAATCTTACTTGGTACTCACTAGACCAAGGTAGTTCTCAAATGCTGTCAGGATGAGAACAGTGAGTGTGACTGCTAATCTTGGTTGTGAACTGCACTGGGGATTTACTAATACAAGCTTCTGGTCTGTCCTGTGGCTCACTTTCTTTATTGGATTACTTGAAGCAGGAAGATCCTGAATCTGAGTAGCATGACATGGAAGAAGGAAGTTTTGATTTTTGCCTGCTTGCTTTTACTCTTGCTGGCAAGTTCATCTATCCTGTTGTGATAGTATTAGAACCAACTTCTCTGGGATTTCAGCATTGACTGAGGGTCAGCAGCTCTTCAGGAATCTTTT